AAATGGATGGATTCAATATAATGCTTGTTGTATTATGACATAGGCGATAGCGAAGAGTAATAATATGTTGAATTTAGCAGTATTATTGTAGAGTTTATGAAAATTGATGGACACTGGTTTTTAAATTGAGAAAAAAACAAGTCTTTGAATTCTACAAAAATTTAAGAGTATGAACTCATGTCACCCCACATTCCATTAAATATCAAATGAACTACTCTACATTTACCATGACGGGGTTAGAATTGCAGTAAACAAGTGTCAGAATTTTTCCTGAAACTCATATTTTTTTTTTTTAAATCGACTTCAAACTTTCATTCACTGCTTCTGAATGATACACAACAGGACAATAAAAGAAAACATTTTTCGCTACCTCTTCGAAATTGAAATTTAAAGATAATGCTAAAGAACAAATGTTATGTTCTAATTTTATCATACACGTGTTATTGTGAAGTTTCAATTTCAACAATGATTCAAAATTTCGATTTTACTTTCTTAAAAAAATTGCGGACGGAAAAGAAGACACCTGCTGATTTTTAGCACTTATGAATAAAATTAATTGCTGAAATTGAATGACATAGCCTTTACTTTTTCCATGATAAATGTTAGAGTGGGGTTCTTGCTCGAGCTCAATTTTAATTGTCTATGAAGTATTTTGAGGACGGACAATTTTAATTGTCTATGAAGTATTTTGAGGACGGACTTTGTTGGTTCTTTTTTTATAACGTCTTTGTTCCTCGGCTTGTAAATGTTGCATTACTGTTCGATTGTATCTGGCCTTAGTATCTTCTTACTTTTTTTATAAAAATTGAAATATGTGCTTAATTTTCAATTGCATTCATACACCTTAACTCAGCTTTGTGTCGATATAAAAACGAACATGCAAACGTCCTTCTAGGTCAACACATACACATTCACATATTATCATGTCATTCGTCACCTACATTTTTTCGCTAACACTGTGTGTTATTTCATACAAAAATAGCTGGGTTTTCAAAACAAATATTACGTAGTCATAGCTGGTTGGATTACCAATAAAAGCAGAATTGTCACAATATTGTTTGTTTATTTGGTTATTTTTTTTTTTTTTTTTTGTGAAGCATTTTCATTTTCTGATGATATAAAACACAAGATTTATTTTGTATCCTCTATGGTGTGTCTGAAACGGTAACAGAGGTTGAAGTTAAACTAACAATAGGATACTCAGATTTCTGATTTGAGTCATTCTGATTGTCTCTTTGAAGTTTTGAGATAGCAAAGGCATCCTTTTTTTTGGACTCGTGATAAACCACACGAAATCATTTCTCGATTATGAGCTTTTTTTCCTTTCTTGGAGTATGGAAGATTACTCGCGTAACTGACTACACACGTTTTTAACCTGAATTCCACTAGAGGCGTGTAATTACGTATACTTTGCCTCAAGCAATGAACAATCTATCACTTTTAGTGTGCCTAACGACCAGTTGCAAATATTTCATGCGTGTTCATGATAAGAAAAGTGTGGACAACCTTTACGTATCGAACCATTTACTTGTTTGATATGTCTTGTGGTGTGGTTTATGTTCATTGAAGAATGTGATTCGATGACCTCCAAAGATTCACTTTCTCGTCATTTTGTATGTTATTTACTGTGCATGTATTTGACTTGATTTTTGGTCGATGTATTACGGAAGCCCATTTAGGACCTCCCAAAAATATAATTTGGAATTCGATGTCACGAGTTAACATCGTTATCACGTATTGTAGAATTGTTTATATAGATTTATTTCATAATCATGAAATTCAAGGAATTATTTATAACAGTTTTTGTAATTCGTAATAACTGATTAAAAACATGATAACGAACTATCACTGATTAAATTCGTTCTCGCATATGTGTTTCATTTGTTATCACAAATTCGTGATTACTAATTGAACTCGTTATCACAGATTTTTGTAATTCGTGATATAGGTTTAAAATCGTTATAACAACTTGTATAATTCGTGACAACGGATAAAATTCATGAAAACGAAATCCATAAATTCGTTATCACGAATTTGATTCGTTATCATAATTGGAGATAACGATTTAAAGTCGTGATTTCGAATTCAAATATATTTTTTGGAGGTCCTAAATAGGTTTCGGTAATGTATACACCTTAGAAAAGATTGCTGACAAAAATAATCTCAAGGGAAAACTTAGGAGATAAAAAGGGCAATAAAAAATCCTGTCATTTCGCTCTTCGATCTATTTTATACGGAAGCCCATTTACATGTAGGACCTTCCAAAAATATAATTTGAATTCGAAATCACGAATTTAAATCGTTATCACGAATTGTATAATTTGTTATAACAGATTAAATTTGTGATAACGAATTGGTGAAAATCGTTATAACAGATTTTATAATTCGTAATTGCGAATTGAATTCGTTATCACAATTTATTGTAATTTGTGATAACGAATTAAAATTGTTATAACGAATTGCGAATTTGTGGAATTCGTTATCACAGTTTTTTTTTGTAATTTGTGATTTCGGATTAAAATTCATTCTCACAGATTTTTAGCTCACCTGACCCAAAGGGTTAAGTGGGCTTTTCTCCTCACTTTGCGCCCGTTGTTGTTCATTAAATTTAACAAAAATCTTCTTTTTTTTTAAACCTTTTGTCCAAAGTTAAACAATTCGTTATAACAATTTTAATTACAAAAAATTGTGATAACGAATTCAATTCGTAATTCCGAATTATAAAATCTGTTATAACGATTTCCACCAATTCGTTATCACAAATTTAATCTGTTATAACAAATTATACAATTCGTGATAACGATTTAAATTCGTGATTTCGAATTCAAATTATATTTTGGAAGGTCCTAATGGGCTTCCGTAATTTTAAAATTTAGTTGGCTTATTGGAAATATTAAACCGATTTTCAAAAACAAGGGTGACAAAACGGACCCAAAAAATTATAGACCAATAACAAGTCTGAGTTGCCTTGGGAAACTCTTCACTGCAATTTTGAGTGAGCGATTAACTGAGTTTTCAGACGACTTTCTTATCTTGAATGAAAATCAATGTGGATTTCGTAAGGGCTATTCAACAACTGATAATTTATTCATAATTTTCAACTTTTTTGAAATTCTAAAAAACAAGAAGAAAAAAATGTTTTGCGCATTTATTGATTTAGAAAAAGCTTTCGATAAAGTTTGGCGGGATGGACTGTGGTATAAGTTGCTAGTGAATAATATGAATGGTAACATGTATAATATAATTATAAATATGTATAATGGTACAAAGTCCTGTATTTCTTATAATGATTGTAAGTCAGAATTTTTCCCTTGTAGTAACGGTGTACGACAAGGGGAAAATTTGTCCGCTTTTCTTTTTGCCTTATTTATGAACGACCTTGAGTCATACTCAGTCTTATCAAACTGTAACTTAAACGGACTGAAAACGATTTCTAACGAAATTGAACTCAAACTTAATACATATTTAAAATTATTTGTAATTTTATATGCTGATGATACTGTGCTAATGGTAGAATCACCGGCAGATCTCCAAAGGCAACTTGACTCATTTCAAGATTATTGTTCTATATGGAAACTGAAAGTTAATGCTGATAAAAGTAAAATCATGGTTTTTTCTAGAGGAACACTTCCAAAGAACCTAAGTTTTAACTGAAACGGAATAGAACTAGAAATAGTGAACAGTTTAAATTATTTAGGGATAGAATTGGCCAGGAGTGGGAACTTTAAGAGAGCGAAACAGTCCATAGCCAACAAAGCTACTAAGGCTTTCTATGAGGTTCTAAAATTAGGCAGAAATCACGGCTTTGCAATCAAAACACAGCTCGAATTATTTGATAAAATGATAAAACCTATTTTACTGTATGGGTGCGAAGTATGGGGATTCAGCAATAACGAAATAATCGAAAAAGTCCACTTAAAATTTTGTAAATTGCTGCTACATTTAAAATCTTCTACACCATCGTATATGATATATGGTGAACTTGGAAGATATCCTCTAGAAATTGACATAAAAAATAGAATGATATCATTCTGGGCTAAACTTCTTTCTGGAAAAGAGTCAAAATTGTCAAAAATTGTTTATAACTTATGTTATCAATTGTCATATGTGAACGGAGATCGGTTTTTATGGTTAGATCACATAAAAAATATTCTAAATGAATGTGGCTTAACATATATTTGGAACACACAAATTTTTATGAATTTGAATTGGCTGCGTCTGACAGTTAGTAGAAACCTTAAAGATCAATTTGAACAGAATTGGCACTTATCGTTAGAAGAATCACCCAAAGCTGAGTATTTAAAGATAAGTTTTGTTTGGAAGTTTACTTATATATTTTAGATAACAAAAATGTTGTCGAATTTTGCAGATTTAGAACAACAAATCATAAATTGCCTATTGAAGCTGGTAGATGGTATAACACCAACAGACAAAACAGAAACTGTAATCTGTGTAGAAAAAATGAAATCGGGGATGAATTTCACTTTATCTTGGAATGTCCATTTTTTGAACAGGAGAGAAAAATTAACATACAAAAATATAGTTACACCAGACCAAATATCTTAAAGTATGAATTATTGATGTCATCAAAAAAGAAAACAAAGCTTATTAAACTTTGCAAATTTATCAAAATCATAAATAAATCTGTGTGTACTCCAGGCTTAATCTAGTGTGAAGCTACCCCTATTATTGTTGATCAAATGTCTTGTACTAATTGTATTTTATTATATATTGTATATATTGTACATATGTATTTCTCTATACCTTGTCAAAATGATGGTTTATTGAGAATAATGATATATATGGAAGGTCCTAATGGGCTTCCGTAATTTTAAAAGACTGGCAAGAAAATTTTTATTTCACTGTTATATATCTTAATTTTCTATCGACCTTCTAATGATTAAATATGAATACGTACAACCATAAAATATGATATAATTTAATGTAATATACAATTGTTACAAATAAATACTGACATAGCACTATTACATGTTATTAATCATGTCAATAAAACAAACGACCGGAGGATGATTTCAGTCGTTTTTGGCCAGCATACCATGATTTAGATTTGGACCGGAAATGACGCAAATCGTCTTTGTGATCTTTGCTCAACATTGGCACGTAATCCATGGGAGTACACAATGTCTTATAACTTCCATAAAACTCTTTGTATCCTCCCTTTAGAATGTAAAGTTCAGGAAAATACAGGGAAGGATAATTTTCAGCATTTAATTCTCTATCATGATTACGAAGAAAGCGGCACATTTTTGGTCCTCTCTCGGAAGAAAACTCACAATGGAAAATAATTATGTCACGCTTTCCATCTGAGCGGGATGTTTTTGGATTTTTTAATAGTTCTAAAATATCGTCCTTATTATGAATATTTTCAGCGCCTGGTATGTGACCACCTTCAAACTCATACGAGTATCTACTGTCAAGTATACGAACGCTTCCAATTGTATCATCGTATTTACCGTTTAAAACATGATTCATGGTGGCTGGAGTTATGTATCTTAAATCATGGCAGTGTCCCTGAACGGTTGGTAAACAACATTCTTCCTTTCCATCCCCAGTGACTACGGCCCCTTGAACTAAGACGTCTTCTGTTTTAACGGAGTTGTGCTTGATGGCGTCAACGGACATGTCTTTATTGGTACTGATTATCTGTCCATCAAACGACAAAGATTTTTCCGTAATAGTTTTTGAGATCTGATGTATCTTTTCTTGCTATAAGATACAGGGGTATCACAGTCAGTATTGTTGTCAAATTTGTCGGCTCTTTTTCTCTTTGAGCTAAAGTCTGATTTAAACAAACTTAGTGTTGGTGAGTTGTCAAATTCAGAAAAGTCCATACCAAGTCCGGAATCTTCGTCGAACAAGCTCTTTATAAAGTCTGGAGTTTTTGGAATTTTACGACAGTAATCTCCGGTTGAACAATCCATCTCAGTTACTGAAATATAGAAAAACAGTGAAAATGTTTTTTTCTGCTAAGTTTTGTTTTATTGTAGATTGACCGGAAATTATTAAAATACTTGCATAATTATAAAAATGTAATGTTCGGAATACAAAAACATATTAGCACGAGATACAAGTAGAATTACTAGACATGTCAAGCCTTTTCCTCATGATTCTAGCCGGGTACAAATAAGTTTCTATCCGAAACTGTTTATGATTATATCTTTTATACTCATATGGTAATACCTTACTGTACTGTAAATAATTTGTGTTTGGACGTAAAGTTGGTTATTGCGCTCTCAAACATTTTATGATATTTTTAGTTTTCTATATACTCGGTAAGTTTCGAGCGTCCCTGATGAATGTCCGTCCGGAAACTCGAGTAATGCGCATGAAAATTTTAACATTTTAAAAACAATGCAGCTGAATTATTGTTATTTACGTCAAAAGAGTGAAAGCATCAAAAGTTTAAAAATTGAAAATGAAAGTGCTGTATTATATTAACGCAACTTTTATACCAGATTACATTGCTACAAAAACAGTTCTAAAATAAGGAGGACACCAGAGTCACGATGACTTTGATGTAAATAACTGTTTATAATTAGGTCACCAAACGGAAGTCGACAATGAGCAAATCCATGCCGTATAGTTTGTATAATTTTTGCTTAATTATAAATGATATCCTAATTACATGTAACTGAAATAAATAGAAAATAATTTGTAATGATTATCATTTTTTGATAAATTAAATTAAACTTACTTTTTTCGAAAATTTTAGTTGTGACCAGACAGTATTGACAGATGTCAGACAGAAAATGACCACTGTTGTAATCGCCAACTATTTCATATTCTGAGCCGAAAATAATCATATTCTTCATCTCAATTACATCTATACATTTGTAATACCCTTTATGAGATATAATTATGACTAATTATATTGTATATTTCATTGTCATTCAGGTAGATTTTTATGATACCAAGAAATTATGTTGTAAAATATTGTAAACAAACGGTAAATACCTTTATTTACGTCTGCAGGGTGTACATTTCAAGATGCTTCACCTTAAGATAGCTTTAAAGTTAATCTTTTAAATATTAGAACCATAGGGTTAGGAGATTTGTATATACATGATATATCATAATATTCTCTGCAATAATCTGTTTGATGATTGGATCTCCGAAATCTACAGACGATCTCATTTAGTGGACGACAATTTTATTACATCGCGATGACCTTGAGGTCATTCCGATGTATTGCTATCGCCTAGATTTCCATTATGTAAATTAGTTTTGGGTTTGTAACCGATCTATAAACATGATAAATATGCGCACATAAACGAGTGCAAAATAACATTCCTTATCGTTTGATATAAATACATCTCTTCAATGAATACTGATAAAAAATATTTTTGTTTACAACATAAATTAATAATATGAAAATGTTTTGTAGTTAGATATATATATATAAGTAAAAAATCATTGATAATATCAATGCACACGTACCGAAAAATGGTGTTAAAGCATGCGGAAGAATATCTCAAAGAACAATTTGCGACAATACCGGCAAGGACCGGTAACTCTGTAATTGATTTTGCGGGAAAAAACGAATGCCTACTCGTATCCAATCTTAGAAAAATATCGAATTTTTACAGAAAAGTGTCCACCATGCACTTACATTGCACAATTATTAGAATAGTAGAATAGAATGATATACAAATGGATGCAAATCATATATATATGTAACTGTTATTTTAATATAATATATAACAACAAATGATTTGTATCACTACAATATAATAGTTATTACGGTGAAGTTGAATTTCCTGTCATTTATTCATCATCCACGCACGAACTTGTCTCAGAAAAAAATATATCTCTGTACATTAACCTCAGTTTCAGGTAAAGAGATATGTTGTTTTTTTCTGAGACAAGTGCTTTTGACCATCCCCAAGAACTTGTGGTCATCCGATGTTCAGTACTTCAGTACTTTGATTTTTTTTTTTTTTATTTATTTATGTTTTGTTTTTTGTGTGTTTGTTTGTTTTTGATTTTTTTTTTGTGGGGGAGGGGGGATTTGAAAATGATTATTTTGGTCTGTTCTGGTAAAGGCTGAAAATAAATAACATTACAAAAGACAGGATGCAAATATTCTGCAACATAAAATACAGGAAACAGTTGTGTACAAGAGTAAAAATAAAAAATAAGCGTGCATAGCAACAGATGAAAATAGATAAAGTCAATCAGCAAAAAATCCTCCTGCTCCAACCACCATCATCCTCGGAATATCAAATGGTCGTCCCCTTAATCTTAATCTTAATTAATGTTTTATTTATCTAATAATATTTTTTTAAACGGCGCGTAGTCAAATTAAACATAACTGTTTGGAGAAAGTGAACGTAGTAAAAATAACTTTAAAATAACCGGCAATGTGCCCGTAGTAAAAATAACACTTTCAAATTTGGCGTGCATTTGCACGTGAAAGACATAACTAGTTGTGGTGAAAACGGCGGCGGCCACAAGATTTGGTTGCATTTCTGATTTAGAAAAATAAAAGACTCTTATAATTACTGTCCATGTCAGAGCTATGTCCATGTGAAATTATTATTTGTAGTACTTACGTGGTGAACAAAAAATATTTCCTTCCTTTTTATTCCAAAAAACTAGCTTTTAAATTAGCGTATATCATGAATTTATTTTGTTTCAATTAAAAAAGAACGAATGATTAAATATTAGAAAATTCTGCAATATTTATGATATTTCAAACGTCAAATTATAAAAGGTGAGAAAATAAAAGACAAGTACTTAACAAGTTAACAAGTACTTGGTATTGTTAAAAGCAGTCGCATGCAATTTCTATGTTGTTATAGTCTTACTAATTGATATTACAGGTGTGTCAATTACAATTAGGAAGTAAGTTTTTCTAATTTCTGTCTATTCTAATTTTGTATTCCGACCTCCGACATGAAAAACCGACAGTCTTATTCAATTAAAATCAGAGTTGTCGCATCTTGCCACGAGCGGTTTTCGAACTCGCTTCAAAACAATAGATAAATCCTGTTCAACTACTTTGCTGGGGTATTATAAAGTTTTATTTCATTTCCCAATAAAATGCAACACCTATATGACTGCACGTGCTCTACATGACAAATTGAAATGCATAGAAAAGCAACCGAAAAGCTTGATATAATTCATAATTTCATGGCTGAGGCTTAAAATTGTAACTATAAAAATTGAATGCTTCTTTGTTGTAATTCTATAGAGTTATGACAGATTTAAACGTGCGCACATTATAAGCTAACACGAAGTAGCCCATAATGCATTGTGGGTCATTTTGTAAATTGGTTAATTTCTTAGAAGTATGTTTAAATTTTGTATAAAGGTAATTACTATTCAAATGTGTTCTGACCTGTCCATACTGCCGCAAAACACCGCATGGCAAAAATAAATGATCTTACTTGTTAATTCGTCGATTTTCGTTACAGAATTATTTTATGTAAGAGTAGATCGTAAATTACTAAGTTTGGCTGTTGCCCCTGTTCAACAAGATATACACATGTTCTATTATATCCCTTGTGTCCGTCCAGATTTCCCGTCCTACAATACGATCAATACATCCACTATACAGGATTTATTTGTTCTACGTATAGTTCAATTTTATTCTCGTTCTGATTATGAAAGAAATAGTTGCCACTATACGTTAAGCATAAAGAAAAATTTCCCTTTCAAATCAACGGAGAAGTTTCGATTGAATCGATTATTGTTCGCTTAATGTCTAGTGACAGAATCTTCATACATATTCAATTAACGGATAAATGCCTCAAGTAAATTAAAATACACGAAAGGGAGCCCAGTGACAAATATTTCTTGGGAGTTTTTTTTATTATTTATTCTATGAACATTACAAATTTTTAGATCAAAAGATTTCCGAAACTAGTAACACAAATGTGTTGTACTTACTTTAAATGAAATTTTATAGATACATATCGGAAAAATAAAAATCTAACTCTTTTAATGTAAAGTTTGTTTCCAACTGACCCCAATTGTCAAATTAGACATTAAATATGACGAGTTAAGCGCTCTTCAACTGATTTTTATACTAGAAGTTTGTTTTTATGTTGTGCTGCTACTCCACTGCCCCGCGTTAAGGCTCGGAGGGTTGGCGCGTCCGCAAGCATGTTTAACCTAGCCACAGCCTGTATATGCCTGTCCCAAGTCAGGAGTCTATGATTTAGTCACGGGTTGTCGTTTGTTGCTGTGTATACTATTAATTTCGTTTTTCGTTTATTATTTTGAACATAAATCAGGCCGTTAGTTTTCTCGTTTGAATAGTCAGTTTACATTTGTCATTTCGGGGTCTTTTATAGTTTGCTTTGCGGTATGGTTTTGCTCTTTGTTACAGGCCATACGGTGACCTATAGTTTATAACATTCTACGTCCTTTGGTCTTTAGTGGAGATTTGTCTCGTTGGCAACCATACCACATACTTCTTATTTTTATATTAGATGTATATGTGGTATCTTTTATTTCAAGTCAATGAGATGAAAACGATAAATAGTCACTTAACAATGAATTATTCAATGAAAGGACACCATCTAGTTGTTTATAGCGGAACGTGTATTATAAAGGTTAATGTCAGCATACTTGAAAAGATCCTCTATGAAATTAGTCCCCTTAGAATAAAGCAACATCGCTCTTCTTTCTTTCTTATGGATAAGCTTC